CCACAGGGCTAACAGGCTGCCAAGCTGGGATCTGCACACAGGTGCGTCCCAGTTCGCAGTGTGTTGCTTGAAGGTTTTCAAGAAAAGGAAGTCAGAGATGAAGGGAAATACCGCCTTCGGGCATTCTCTCAAACATCCCTCCCTCCAGTTGCTTCCCAGGCCACTCCATCTTAGACATCATCTAAATTCACATCCACCTTCCCCATCATCTTTTTCTGCTTATCACTAAAATGCTTCTTTTTTTTTTAATCCTCACCCAAGGATATGTTTTTGTTGATTTTAGAGAGAAAGGAAGGGGGAGGGAGAGAAACATCAATTGGTTGCCTCCCTTACACAAGGCTGCCCGGGGTTGGTGCTGGACCACTCTCCCCCCCCTCCCCCCCAACCCTTCTGTACACAGGACTACTCTCCAACCAACTGAGCCACACTGGCCAGGGCTACAATGCTTTCTAGTTTAATGATTTACCTTGCTTACTGTCAGCTTCCCCCACTAGAAGTCCACTGCATAGGTCAATGATAGTTGTATATTTTGTTCAGCACTGTGTCTCCTGCGTCTAGCATCCATATATAGTAGGTGCCAAATAAATAACTGTTGAATGAATACATGAATGCTTTAAAACAGAACGAAGAGGCAAGAGTATGGAAGAAAAAGAGAACGATCCAACTATTCAGGGGAAGAAAGGGGATAAGAAAAGATAGTGCGAGAATCTGGCCAGGGGCCAGTTGGGGGCCCCAACATAAGCCTCCCAGGAGGAAATGAGGGTCTGCCAGGCCCTCTACGACTCCAGTAGAGGCTTCCTGCTGGCAGGAGTGAGTTCCAGCTGCCAGGCCCCAGCCTGAGGGCTTCTGCCGGGGAGGGCGGGCCTGGAACAAAGGCCTACGGACCTGCAGCTGGCCAGAGAGGCGGGCCAGAGCAGCCGCCAGGGCCAGAGGGGCAGCCTGGGATGGGGGGAGGGGGGCCAACGAGGAGCTGAAAACAGCCCTCAGTGCAGCTGGAAAGGCAGCACATTCCCAAAGTGCAGAGTCCCCTGCACCCCCAACACAACAGAAAACAGCTAGATGGCTCCACAGTTAACCCTGCTGGGTCAGCTCCAGCCTGGGCTTGTAGCAACACTCCAGGCTTGGAGCCAGAGCCTTCACAAGGTTCTGATTTGGGGGGGGGGGGGGGGCACAGTCCTTTTCCCCTCCAACCCTGGTCATCTCCCAGGCCATGGCCTTTGGCCTCCTCCAGTGTAAACAGTGACCCTGAGATTTGGTGAAGCAAATGTTTACTCTGGAGATGAGATACTACAGGCCAGGGGTGTAAACTTTCACCGTTGGCTTCTGGTGTCTACCCTTCCTTGTGGCACATGTGGGACGACCCCAGGAAATTACAAAGCTCTAGAGTCTAGAGAGAGCCCCGTTTAGCCACAGTGGAGCCCTTTATTTTGTACAGGAATTTATGGAGCACTCTCCACATGTGTGGCTTCACTGGATTCTCACCCCAGCCTCTATGAGGAAGAGCAGGCAAGCACCCCAGGTGGAAACTGAGTAAAAAAGACAAGTGACTTGCCCGAGTCAAGTGGGGGAAGCACGATTACACAGAGTGAGGAAACCTGAGTGCTGGTCCCTATTTGGCCAACGGGGATCAGGCTCAAATCACCTCCCAACTCTGGGCTCTGCTACCTTCATGTCAATGGAACAGGCCAATCAGAGATGCCTTCCAGCCCAAGAGACTCTATCAGTCTTTGATGGGATGCAGTAGAGACAGGACTAAATCTCGAGCAAAATCCTGTGCTGGACTCCCAGGCTAGAGCTCTTTCCATCCTCCTGCTATACCACTTCTTTTTAGCTAAGAACTCCTGCTGTGGGGCTCTGGATATGTGTATGTGTATGTGTGTGTGTGTGTGTGTGTGTGTGTGTGTGAGAGAGAGAGAGAGAGAGAGAGAGAGAGAGAGAGAGAGAGGGGGGCCACTTCTAATAAAAGGCAGTAGAAAGGCTCAGAGAGAGAAAGAAAGAGAGAGAGAGAGATGCCACTTCTAATAAAAGGCAGTAGAAAGGCCCCCAAGCTCTTACACAAACCCCTCCCTCTGCTTCTTGGTTTGCCCCATACCCAGAACCAGATACCCAGGGAGCCAAGGGATTGCCCAACCCTCCCGAAAAGGGGCGGGGGGAAGGGGGGCAGCAAAAGTGTTCCCAGCACGTGTGGAAGGAGATGTGGTGTCCCAGGACCGAAGGGAAGGGGTACACCTTCCTCTGGTTCTCACTCCCCGGTTTTCTGCTAGGGATGGTGGAGGTGAGGTACCCCAGCTAAGACACTCAGCAGTCCACTCCCCGTCCAGCAGAGTGATTTGCTCAGCAGGGAGCCACTGAGGCTGTCACCACTCTCCCTGCTTATTATTTCTTGAGCAAGGTCAGTGTGATTGGGCTGCGTGCAGAGGCAGGACCGGTGAGACTCTGGGAACACCAGTTCAGGGTTCCCTGTAGGGTGTTGCAGTCCGGGTCCCCTCCTGGGGGCCCCAGAGCAGGGGACAGGCTCCTTCATCTGCCAACCGTTTAGAGTGACCTCAGAGATGAAACTCTAACAACTGCCAGTAACACCGTCCCCCCCAGGCCACACCTCTCCAGCCTCCCACCATTACATTTCCCACTTCGTTCTTCCTTTTGTTTTCAAAAGCGGCTCCAAAGAGTGAACGCAGTTACTGAAAAACGTCTTGAAATTTTCAAGTGTGCACGCCTTATCCTAGCTTTCCAACCCAAAGGGCTGCGAATACGGAGCAAATGAGCCAACCCGATTTCAGGGGTGGGCGAGGTCGAGGTAGACGGTGGTTTCCGCTCCGAACACCCCACTCCTGGCACCTCCTCTCACTCCTCCAGGACATGAGCTGATTCCCAAGAGCCAGCACCGTGTGGCACTATCCGGAGCGCCAGCCTGGGAGTCCGGAACCGGCTGCCGGCGCCTCTCGGGCTCCCAGGACCTGGGGCTCGGGTCCCT